AAGTAGATCCCCCCCTCCGCTCCCCTGTTCTTGGGTCAACAGGAACTTTTTGTATCAGTAATCATAGTTATCAACCATATGTAGGGTTGCCAGTTCTGGGTTGAGAAATATCTGGAGCCTGGGGAGGGGCGGGGTTTGGGGAGCTGCAGGGACTTCATCAGTGGGGTATGATGCCACAGAGCCCACCTTCCGAGGCAGCCCATGGACTCCAGGTGAACTGATCCCTGTCGCCTGAGGTCCGACTGTAATTCCGGGAGATCTCCACTCCAGCCACCACCTGGAGGCCGGGGAAGCTACTGTGACCCACCTGACCTCTCCCATTCAGAGCAGGTATCATTGATCAGGATAACCTCCTGCACGAGGCTTTGTTGCAATGAACGGTGGCAACCAATGCGCCCTCTAATCCGTGGAGTCTTGCGAGCAAAAAACCTACTTTGTGAGCTGTGAGCGAGCGGTTTGGCTGCTGTGTAAAGCAGTTTGCTCTGGAGCCAGACTTCCTGAGCGAAGACAGAAATGTCTGAGCCGGAGGCTAAGAAACTGGGAGCTAGCTCACACTGACTCAGCTTAGAGGGAACACTGGTGGCAACCCAGTGGAACTCCTGTTCATCTCAGCTGGGCTTAGGCGAGGAACTGCCCCAATAAGATTCTGCCCTGTGACTCCTGTCATCAATCGTTTAACCCAATTCCCCACCACCGTGGCTGAGAAGGGAAGCCCCAAGGATTCTAAGGAAAAGGGCATTCTAGGGAAGAATTGAAACGTGGTGATAACTGCCTCCTGCGCATGAGATCACATCTCCAGTCCCTGGAGGAGACTGTGGGAGGAGTGCCCGGAGATGGGAGCGGGAGGCAGATCTGGGGCTCCACCTGCACAGAAGGAAATGCTTCTGTAGCCAGGATTGCAGAGAGGCCGTAAACAGGATGCTGACGGAATTCCAGGCTGGGTCCCGAAAGCCATATAATTAAGGACTTAAGTGGCCATTAGCCTGTTTTTGTTTCAGATAGAAGCCTGCTGATCTAGTGCACCTCAGCGCAATTAGCAACAGCTTCGTGCTTGATCCCCACTTCAAGAGAAACCACTCTCTCTGTCTCTCTCTACCTCCCAAGCCAGCTGGTGACCAAATGAGCCATTCCCATGGCCTACCAAACGCAGGTTTCAAAGTAGGGAGGGAAAAGGTTCCCAGTCCTCAGTCCTCTCCTGCTCAGATCATTTTGTAGTAGGTGTAAAAGAAATGGAAGTTCCCCTTCTCGGTCCCTGGTTGGCATGTTTAGCGAAACCTGACTTCCTGTGTGTTTTTATAAGCCATCTGCCACTCATACTGTGTACGTTACGATGCAGAGGAGTGAACCCGTAAAAACTTAGTCATTTGGGAAAATAAATCCAGCAACAGGGGGACGTGAGCCAAAGAAAATCATAATAAGCAACTTTTACTGTCACTCTAAGAAAACTGGTAAAAAATAAATAAATCCCGGAACAATATAAACAGGAATTTTTCAATAAATACACACTTAATTAAGTAGATTGCTGAATGGCTCTCACCTTGGCTTGTAAAATATTCTGAAATAAACACGGGAAACTATAGCAAGGGGATTGTTTCTTTTAATGAACTCTTGAGAAAGGAGGGGTTTTTTACTCAGGATATATCGAGTTCCCACCGAAAACTGTCACAGCGCCTCGCTCATACGTATAAAAAGGGCTCTCAAGCATTTTTGGATTGCATGGCTGGTGTTTTAATCCAGTCCAAAACAGATGTGTAATTAAATGAGTTGGCTGCTAGCAGCAAAAATTTTGAATGAACCTCAAAACAAGATACATATTGAGGCGATAAAGTAGAGTATTTTTCTAGTAAAACACTTCTGTTGGCACTGGAGCCTTAAAAAAAGCCATCCCACAACTTCTGGTTTTAGGGTTACGGACGACCAACACCTGATGCAACTGCTGCCCAACGCTTACATGTTTAGACTAATAGTATGTGGTGTAGGGACGCCCCAAATCCACCACTGGAATGAAGTGCCCTGTTTTTCAGTTCAAGACCCATTAATCATTTTATTTAATTTATAAACTCTCCTTTTTTTAAAAAAAGAGTAAAGTGATGTAGAACCAGCCATTAAAATACAATAAATACAAACAGTGTTCCCTCTAAGCTGAGTTGGTGTGAGCTAGCTCACAGTTTTTTTCAGCCTCCGACTCACAGATTTTTGTCTCAGTTCAGGAAGGATGGGGCCCCAGAGCAAACTGATTTATGTAGCGGCCAAATTTCTGGCTGACAACTTTAATGTCAGTCGCTCACAAGGTAGTATTTTTCCTCACAAGACTCCACAGCTGAGAGGGAGCATTGAATACAATGGGCTCAATCTAGTGAGTGTTCCATCGATTACAACGTTTGTGTGTTAAGTGCTGTCAATTCGCTTCTCGCTTATGGCAACCTGACCTACAAAATGTCCTCTCTCGTTCACAGCCTGGCTCAGGTCTGGCAAGCGGAGGACCCTCGTGGGTCCTTGATGGATTCGTTCCATCTCACCTTGGGCCTTCCTCTTTCCCCACTGCCTCCATCGGCTCCTGTTTCAACAGCACCGCTTTAAATTTCAGCTGAATCATGCCCCCATAAAAACTGGGACCCGTCAGACGGCACCTAAGGCAGGATCTCATGGCCACACACTGAGGGAAGTTGCTATCGCTGAAAAGATTCTCAGAGACGTGCAAATCAGTGTTCTGCTCTTGGGAAATACCTTTGGGAAATGCCTTTGTCAGCACAATGATTACTAATAGGTGAGTAAGCAGGTCCTATTACTGGCAGAGGTCCATCCGTGACTATGAGCCACAAGGTATAGATAGGAACTCACAGGCTGGGGCAAGGGATGCTCTGTCTTCTTGGTGCTTGGGGGGGGCAACAGTGGGAAGGCTTCTGGTGTCCTGGCCCCACTGCTGGACCTCCTGATGGCCCCTGGTATTTTTGGCCACTGTGTGACACAGAGTGTGTTGGACTGGATGGGCCATGGGCCTGATCCAACATGGGCTTCTCTCATGTTCTCTTATGTTCTTATAGGAACTCTCAGTCTGGGGCAAGGGATGCTCTGTCTTCTCGGTGCTTGGGGGGGGGGCAACAGTGGGAGGGCTTCTGGTGTCCTGGCCCCACTGCTGGACCTCCTGAGGGAACCTGGTATTTCTGGCCACTGTGTGACACTGAGTGTGTTGGGCTGGATGGGCCACGGGCCTGATCCAACATTGGCTTCTCGTATGTTCTTATAGGAACTCTTGGTCTGGGGCAAGGGATGCT